AATATAATATTCATAGGCATGTTTATATTAGTGTATAATCACCTGAAAATAAGAATCGTTGTGCTTTCTTTACCTTAGAATGAAGCAGCGTGATCGTCTTCCATGGAGCCATATTGAACTGCCATGTTTCTACAAACACTGACTCTAAATAGGCGCACATGTTTTGCAGGCACTGTAGCTTTTTCCTTCACGTTTGGAAGGGGAGAGCAATTTTAGGTTACACAGCTAAATGCTACTAAATCCTATTCACTGGTCCTTTGCAACTCTTATAGAATATCTGAATTAAACCATGCTTTTGCCTTCTTCATTAAAAGGGTACTCTACTGATTACTCTGAGTAACCTTCTAAAACCCTTTATTATTTATAGGTGAAAACTAGGGTTGTGTAACTGGCAATAATCTGATAATACGATAAGTATCACAATACAGGGGATACCGTTCAATATATTTTGATATATTACGATACTATAAGCTACGAGATATATTGCGATTTAATAAAAAAAAAAATAGTATAAGTTGCTGTAACATCTAACATCATACCCCTCAGTTAATGTTTAAAACACTGGTATCCAGTGGTTGAGGGTCTAACCACAAAAATCTAGTATTTGTGAGAATCTATGCAATATCACAAAATATGTTTGTATATTTTCTTACTCCCCTAGTAAACACTTTGTCTCGACATGATAAATAATTGCAGTTATAAATAAAACGTGTGCAAACTGAGAAAACCAGTTGGAAGCGAGTAATCTGTGGCTTTGACTAGAGTTGGGACTGATGTCACCGTCACACACTGATCCAGACAGTCTGCAACTGAGTGAGCTAGTAACAGCTGGCAACTCAACATGTCCTTAGTTTGGAGATGTTTTAGTGTCGAAACACAGAAAAGCAAGACAGCAACTTGTAATAGGTGTAAAGCCAACATTCTGAGCGGTGGAAGTAGTGCTGCATTGTACTATACCACCCATTTAATTAAGCAGTGTCAGTACCGCTATCAGCAGACCTGGAGTGGATCGGTGCATCCCTAGCACTTTTTTATTGTTTTGGCAGAATTTTTTATTTGAATTATTAATAGTTTTACAATGGCATACTATTTCAGTTATCACATTTTTATAGGTGCCCTTCTTGTATTCCGAGTTTCTGGCAATTTTACTCTGTTAAATTGAGAAAGTAATGAGTCAGACTCCCAGTATCACTAAACAAAGACAAAAATAAATAGTTGGAAAATTGTCAACTTCACTACACTCAATTTAGTGTATTTAGTTTACTGACTGCAGCTCAATTAGCAAACAATGAACATGAATGTGTCTGCTGGCGCTCAAATCAATACACACAAAAAGAGCAGAGGTGGAAAGATGGGATAAGCCAGCAATCTGGTATTGACCTGTGAGAGAGATAGAAAAAAAAATGATGTAGGAAAGGCAGAGATTCATATACATCTCCCTGAATTCAACTTGATAGCATCTTACGTTATTTACCAGCT